CATTCATCACTCAGTTACATAGTAAGTAACTTTAGTACAAAGCTGTTCGGAATTCAGATAATATATATACTCTTATGCTGCCCTTTAGACCCAGGCATATCTATCCAAATGTCCTCATGATGACGTAGCTGGCGAAATCTATTGGTATTATTAAGAGAGTGCTTCGGAAGTACCTAATCATTCTGCAGTTTCTCATCACTTTCAAATGAAAGATATAAAAGTCAGAACAAAGTAGCTTTTAGCGAACAATTGCGGTTTCGTTAAATGCTTCCTCAGACTCCACAGTTGTAAATCCATGAATATTATTAGAATATATATAGCCAGTTAAGGCATGTGTAAATTATATCCGAGAGTGTAGTGTTGGGGTACATGTATAATATGGAGTGGTAGTGCATTATTTGATATTGTCAAATTAACGTATATAAGAAATGTGCAGTCAATCAGAACATAAGATGAAATGTGAATAGACAAGTGGGTGAGATAATAATGTATTTATAGTCAATAGGATATAAATGATGTATTAGGCTGGGGGCTGATTAGGTCAGCTGGAAGAACTTTCACTGCTGCAGGACTACACGTCATTTTCTCAGCCAGACCATTACTGAAACAGCGCACCGAAGACAAATTACCAAAGATAGCCACATCATTGTGTGTTTACAAATTCAGCTGCTCATGTGGAGCTAGTTATATAGGTCGAACTCATATCTTTAATCGCTCACAAACATGTTCCTGTTTGGCTTGGCAGAAGTCTAACCAAATCGATAAATAGTGCCATTTTGTTTCACCTAGTAGATAGTGAACACCACATCAAAATAAATGAGCCATTTACAGTTGTATATCGAGTACGAAACAGTCTGCTTAAAGACACACGTTTGCATCTCTCAACTATTGCGGAAACTATAGAGAATCATGGTAAAAAACGTGACCTGTGTGTGCAAAAGAAGCATATTCATCCTATGTGCTTACTCTGGCCTACTATAAGGACAGTAGAGACATAATCATAGATATTTTCCTGTCGTATTATGCCTTCTCATTCCTTTTTACCTAGTTTAAGTTGCTCTATTATTAGTCATATTCTGTGTCAAGCTTTTGTTACTTAAACTAGGCTTAATATGTCTCTAGTGCTTTTATACAGTTAACAATTTCACCTCTTCATTTTATCACTGCACCTAATATCTCTCAGCGTTTGAAATTATATTCAGTGTTCCCCATTTTTATAATTGTTTGTATGTATTTTGTGGTAATCATTTTCAAGTATTGGTTTCGTGGGGATTTTGTTAGAGAACGATTGGGAAACCACTTGGGAGTACTGCGCATCTGTTTCGTCCTTGTTTAAAACTCTTCACTAGTACGCACCCACCGCCAGGGTTCTAACCCAGGACCTTCTGGTTACAAGATGAGCTCGTAGACCATTAAGCCACTAGGAACTGATACAATGAACATCCCATAAATTCTAACTTCTACCGTGACTACTAGGGTACAGCAGGTTGAAGGAGAGGGCAGTAACTCATCGAAGAAGACACTGCAGAGTGGTTGCGCTATGTCAAGAATTGGCAGACAGTAGAATTCATGAACTGGACATTGTGTCGGTTCCCAATGGCTCAGTAGTCTATGAGCTAGCTGGCCTTGTAACCAGATGGTCCTGGGCTCGAACCCTGGCAGTAGGTGCCTACTGCTGAAGTGTCTCAAACCAGGCCGAGTACTCCCAGCTGGTTTTCCAACTGTTCTCTAACTGATGTCCGCTCATAGTGAAATCCTCCAACCAAATTATTATTAAATCATAACAAATAACGTAAAGGATCTGCTTTCACATTATTTTGCTTAATTGTTTTTTGGTGTAATGCAGCTTGCGAAAAGCGGA